GTCCTTCAGGCAGGATCATCAATAACAGCAAATCCCTTCAGGAGCCAGCAGGGAGGGAAGGCTGCAGAGCAGAGCTGTGGTGCTCCCTGGGCAGCTCAGGGTGCAGAGCGTGGCCAGAACTGGGGTCAGCCTCTGGTTCCATGTCCCTGCCAGCCACCCATCACATCTGGGACCCTCCCTGGGCTCGTGTCCCTTTGGGGACATTGATTGCAGCCACTGCATCCCAGTGGCACCTGCAGCCCAGGAGTGGCACAGAGGGAGCTCAGCCAGCTCTGGGGGACAGGGAAGGGAGCACTGGGACGTTCCCTGGGCCTGGCAGCTCTCCCTGCTGGCCCTGGGCAGCTGGGGCTCCACAGGGACAGCTCAGTGACCAGGGAGCTGCTGAATGCTCCGGAGCAAATGGAAATGATCAGAGCAAAGCACAAACCACCGGAGCTGCTCGTTGTCCCCAGTGCTCAGGGGCTGGGAGGCACAGCAGCACCCCAGCACAAAGGGGCCTGTTTGCCATGATGGCAAGCTCAGCCTGTCCCATGGGATGAGGTTGGATTGAGCCTGGGTGGGCAGGAGACAGGGGAAAGGCAGATTTAAGGTAGGGGCACAGTGCCTGGAGGAAGCTGCCCATGACAAACAGGGCATTTGGTGATGCCAGCCCACTGTGGCAGCTTGCCAGGGGCTGTCCATGGTCTCTGAGTGGCTTTTTTAGCTGTTATTTCCTCCCACCCCATCTCCAGCAGCAGAATCCTTTCCTAGGTGCATTTCTGGGGAAGGCACTTTCCTGAGTAAGGTGTTCAGCCTTTCCAGCTGCCCCTTAGGCCCTGCAGGGGTGCTCAAGGGACCCGTTCCAGCTTCATCAGGGGATTCCAAGGGTGCCACCCCTCCTTGTCCTCTGTTCAGGCACAGCAGGGATGATGCTCTTTCCTCAGGGCACTGTGCTCTGGCAGATCGAGGCCAGCAGGAATTCTCTGGCTCCAAGAGCTGGACAGGGATGCAGCAGAAGCCTGATGCTTGCTGGAATAATTCCTCCTCTTCCTCCCTGGTTTATTTTGTCTGAATGAGGCTGCTTTCACCAATTCTGAAAACAAATGAGAGAGCTCTGACTGGGGAACTGGCTGTTTGCTAGAGTTGGCTGAGAATTTTCCTACGAGTTTGGGTTTTGTCTGCATGGAAAATAAATTATTCACTGAAATTTCAGTTGAGAGACATTTACATGACAGTTTTAAGGACAAAGCCCTGTTTTCCCTGGTAAATTAATACCTTTGTGGTTGAAGTGCTAATTTGGAAGAACCAGATTCTGTCCAGCCACTTGAATATTGTAAGATTCATTTAGAAGAAAAACCTGGCAGTTCTTGGAGCTGTTTCATTCCAAGTGGGCTCAGTGCTAGGGGCTGGCTGTACAGCCCAGTGGCCAAGGGAAACTCAGATCAATCCAATTTGGGCTAATCAGGGATCTGAACCTGGATTTCTTCATGTCTGCCCCCAAGAAAAAGCCAACT